AAAACTAAAGTAGAAATAATGAGATCAGAACTGAAATAGCAGATCTCTAGTCAGCTTTTCAAAGCTGTATGATTGCTTGAACACTGTGCAGTGCTTGTAGAGGAACTGGAATCAGGGAGAGAAGCCCCAGTGTGCTTGCACTGGAAACGACAGGTGGTTGGAAGAGCATTGGAGGTTGAAGAGAAAAGGATCGGGGGGGGAAATGGACTGGGTTCCCTAGAACCCATGTAAGGATTGGAGGAAGAGTTGTCGAGCAACTTTTAGGCAGAAAACGAGCAAGGGAGAGAAGAATTAATATTATACTTGTCAATTTTCAGCTGGTGTAGAGGAGAGAGTCTGAGGAGTTGCACAACAGTGACATGCATGTGCTGTAAGCTGTAAAAAGGAAAATGAATATGATCTTATGGTGGTTGTGAGGAAGATCTGCTTGTGGTTGTCAGAGGGAGCTCTGCAGCACAGAGAGGCTGACCAAATCAGGCAAACGATACGAGCAGAAGATACATCAACAACTGGGTTTTTTAAAAAGCAGTTGAAGAGTCTCAAAGAAACACCTGCAGTTTAAAGCCACATGTGCTACTGTGATGCTTCCTAAATCTGAAATGTCACAGTGTGTCTGACAATACTCATCCAAAAGAAAATACTGTCTTCTGTTTTAAAAGGTCTGTCTTCAACGGTGGAGTACCAGACAGTAGAGTTGGAACGGGAGCTTGAAAAAGTGAAAAGCAAGAAAACAAATCTAGGTAATAAAGTTTTTTCTACTGTTACATGTGGATTGCAGTTTAATAAATGACCTTAGGATGCTGTGTTTAGCTTGTAGCAGTCACTTGGTTGATTCCAGTTTGTTCTTAACCGATTTTGTGCATTTGCAGTCCTTTCAAGTTGTCATAGTTTCTGTAAATACATCACACAGAATTATTGCACCCCTCTAACAAACAAACTTAAGTAGGGAGTCTGATTTGGATCTCATTTTTAGGATAATTTTAGAGAAATTGTAACAGTCTTGACTTTCTTGCATTGGACTCAACAACATGATCTTTTCATATACAATGATATGAGGGCCACGAAGATGATAAGAGGGCTGGAGCACCTTTCCTATGAGGACAGGCTGAAAGAGTTGGGGCTGTTCAGCCTGGAGAAGAGGAGGCTCCGAGGTGACCTTATAGCGGTCTTCCAGTACCTCAAGGGGGCCTACATGAAAGATGGGGAGAGGCTGTTCAGGAGGGCCAGTTGTGATAGGACAAGGGGTAATGGTTTTAAAATAGAGGGAGGTAGATTCAGGTTGGATATTAGGAAAAAATTTTTTACCATGAGAGTTGTAGAACACTGGAACAGGTTGCCCAGAGAGGTGGTGGATGCTCCATCCCTGGAGACGTTCAAGGCCCGGTTGGATGAGGCCCTGAGCAACCTGATCTAGTTGGAGATATCCCTGTTCCTTGCAGGGGGGTTGGACTAGATGACCTTTGAAGATCCCTTCCAGCCCTAACGATTCTATGATTCTATGATTCTATGATTTGGGATAATCTAAGACATTACTTTCCTCTGGTTTTGAATTATTTCTATAAAAGTCAAACTGTTTAAGAACAGTGAAATAATTCTTAGCAGGTTTGTGTCTCTTAAAACTGAAAAGTGATACTTCTGATAATGGCAGGTGCACAACAGGAATCTCCTTACTTATTCAAAGGCTTGCAGGATTTTGTGTTTATTGGTGTGCTAAGTGCAAAACTAAGACTGTGGTAAGAAAAAGTTGTTGGGTTGTTTTAGACAAACTAGTGATGTCCATTGAGTTAGTCTTGTCTTTCTTGCCTTAAGTTATGAGAGGAAAATACTCTCTAAATATTTGAATTTCCATTCTGTCTCTTTAGGTCTTACTAAAATATACATATAAACAGCATAATTTAAAATTCAGTATGTTTTAAACTTTGCAGGACTGCTTTATGCTAGGGGAAAAAAAACGTTATGGTGAAACATGCCTGTAAACAAGAGAGAAAAATCTACTTCTGTATGTCTCCCCAGCCTTTCTCTAAAGAGGCTTCATGTTTTTGACACTGCTTTGTACAGCTCTTCAGGGTGGATGTTTTTATGAACTGGTTGGTGATGGTTCAAGATAAGATTACTATTGTTACCTGTAGTTATCATGAGCTTATAGATAGCTGAATGATTTTTACTTGTTGCATTCTAAGGTGATCTACAGTATTAAGCTTCTGTTTTTCTCTTCTGAACAGAACGGCGGAAAAAAGCTTCTGCTTGGGAAAGGAATTTAGTCTATCCAGCTGTTATGATATTGCTATTGACTGAGACGGTAATAATTTTTGCTCTTTTTTCTTTTTCCCCAAAAAAAGTTAGAAGAATTCTTCAGTCATTTGGGGAGATAGTTTTGAAATTTTTGAGTGATGTGTCTTTAAGGAACAAACTTGATATTATTTTCTTGACCATTTTAAAAGAACTTAACATTATGAAATCTGATGAGGCTAAATGCATACATTTTTAAAACGTGGAATACTTTGAAATAACAAGACTGTTTCTACTTCTTTACAGTCTATCTCAGTCCTCTTAGTTGCTCTCAACATTCTCTACCTGTTGGTTGATGAGACGGCAATGCCAAAGGGATCAGGGGTAAAGTAAACTTCTCTTACGATTGTTATAACTTTAGTAATGCTTTGGAGTCCTTACAAAAGTGCAAGTGAGAACTTCTGCTTTAATAACATTGAAACTAATGAGCCTCAACCTTCTAGGTTTCAGTCTTGTGCACACATAAACATTTATTACATGTCATGTTATTGCGAGTTCTTAATAAAACTAGTCCAGAACCTTTATGAAGATACAGTGATTCAGTAAAGTAAATCAGTAAGCTGGAGTTTGGATTTTACTCGTCTTCCTACTTTTATGAAATGTTCATGAAAAGTCTAGAAATCTTGAATTCAAGAAACTGTTCAACACCAATAAGAAAAGCCTGTCTTGTGTCTGTGTTCCCCTTACAAAGCATTTTTTCCTCCTTCACCATAAAAATACTTCGAGAAAGTACAGAACAGCAGATTGAGCAGTAGTGTCTTTAGTCATGAGGAAGGTTTTATTAACTTGGTGTTACTTTCTTCAGCGTGTAGCTGTATATGAGCTTGCAGCACTCTAAGAGATGTTCAGTGGTGATGGACACTGCCTCTGGTCTTGTGAACAGCTAGAAGTGTTGCCTTTTGAGACCTCTTACTTCATTTTCCAAAGTCGTGGAGTATTTATAAAATGCAGCATGGTGGGTAGATGCAGTGTGCGTAAAAGGTCAATCACAATAACGTTTCACTCAAGTTAGCTGGCGCGATTGTGTAGGATGGGAGATGTGCAGGTTGGAACATCAGGATGCGCCTTAAATACTGCGTTGAGAAAAGGCTGTATTTCATGTAAGATGTTAGGGGTTTTGATCCTGGTAGAAGTTATATGAACAGTTGCATGTATCTTACTAAATTATGCAAAATATTTTTCTCCTTGTAGGGGCCTGGAATAGGAAATGCCTCCCTATCCACCTTTGGTTTTGTGGGAGCAGCACTTGAAATCATTTTGATTTTGTATCCTTTCTTTAAGAATTCTGTCTGTTAACAAGTATTCTGTCTAGTTTTCTGGGACACTGGTAATTTACTAAGACACTTGCCTGGAAAGAAGAAAGAGGTCAGTCCTTCTCAAGCACTCGAAGTGTTTTTGTGTGTTTTTTTTTTTTTTCTTTGGTTCTTAAGACTTTTAGGAGACTGCTGAGAACTTGAGTGAAACTTGCATTCCTTGGAGGTTTCTTTTTCCTTGATTCTCACAGCTATCTTATGGTATCCTCTGTCGTCGGCTTCTACAGTCTCCGTTTTTTTGAAAATTTCACTCCCAGGAAGGATGACACAACTATGACAAAGGTAAGGTGAAGTCTGTGATGGGGATGGCCCCCTCCTCTCTTCCTTGCCACCCAAGACAAACTGACTCTTTCAGTTAGTAATTGCCCTGAATGGCTCATTTGCAGTGATCAGTATTTGTTTGTAAGCTGCGTAAACACAAACTCGAAGATTTTCAAAACGCTGAATGAGTGGGAAAAAGGATGTGCTCTGTTTAGTTTGGATGGCATCCATTCACTTGTAGAAAGCCGGGAATAGCAGACCTTGTTAACTAGCTATAGAAAAGCTAGTGAAAGAACTTTTTTCAAAGGAAATGTATTGCTAATGAGTAACTTTGATTGTGCTAACTGTACTTCAGGGACCTTGTTTGAAATCTGAAGAACTTGGTTGCTAGAAGTGATAGGACAAAGTAATTCAAATTTGAATAATTAAACTAAGACTGAGGAGGTCTATTCAGCAACGTTTTGCAGTCTGAGGCTAATTTGACTTCCTACAATTTAGCACTGGCTTCAGAATAACAAATGCTGTTACCTAGAGCGGAGGAACATGCTTAGGTTTTTGGCAAAATATTCCCACAGCTGACAAGGGGAGGTGATCAGTAACCAAGGAACAGATGTTGAATTTAATTATTTTTTCCGATGTGTTTCACTGTTTGTTTGTTTTGTTTGCTTTTTTTGAAGTAATGAGTACACACATTTTTACCATAAACCCTTGGAAGTGAGAAAGTAGGTAAATACATAGAATGGTGATAGTAGCTGGGTAGTAGGGAGTTGGAATGTTCTTAACATTTTCTGTTGTTTGTTTACAGTACACCAGGAATAGCGTAGAAATAAATAGTTGAATGCACAAATACCTACCTACTTTTAAGAAGTTTCTCATTTTTTTCTTTTGAATTCTGATAGAATTAGAGCTGAAGAAAGTGATCCCTTGTGAGAGAAAATTTCAATTACTTTTTATAAAGGCTTCACAAAAACTAGAGTAAAATCTAACAGTTGTGAATTTTTTTGTACTATGTAAAGTAGTCAACAGGCATTCAATTGAAAGGAAGCTCTTTGTTGTAATTTTTTAAATAATGCTAATCCTGCAAGCAGTTACATACATCAGCTTAAGCTTTGTATCAGTCCTCTATTCTGAGCCCATGGAATGGTTCTTTTATAAAAAGTTTGCAGGAATTAAGTAAACAGTTGACGCTTTGCAACATGGTAGTTTTGAATTATTTTGAATCTAAGCATACGTAACATTTTGATTAAAAGCAAGTGATTACATATTTGTGGTGGTGGTTTTTGGTTTTTAAAATTCTTCTCTTGGGTTGTCTTCATCTTGTGTAACACCATATGGAGAAGTGTGACACAAGTAAGCAAGACTAACAATATGTTACTGTAAACTGCTTTAGGTTCAGTTTGAAGAACGTAACTTTCAGGAATTCTTTTTCATCTCAACCATTGCTTTTCTTTTTTTTTTTTTCTTCATAACAATCTCATTCATAATTTAAATGCTGTTTGTCATTTTCAAACAGATAATTGGAAACTGTGTCTCAATCTTGGTGCTGAGCTCTGCTTTGCCAGTGATGTCAAGGACACTGGGTAAGTGAAATGGAAGTATAAAACACTGTCATAAAGGATGTTTAATTGAGTTTAAAGAAAAAAGAGCAGCCTGTAGCTCTACCTTTCGTAGTATGTATTTAATTTGCCATCACTTTCAGTAGAAGTAGTATGTATGTGCAGCTGCCTTTTCTACAGCAACGTGAGCTGTTGAACTTACATTCTACATACATGAACTGCAGAACATACATTGTAAAAAAAAAAGATGCTAAGCATTTTCTAGAGAATAAATTATTTTAAAAAGGTAGGTCAGATATTGAACTTCTTAAAATAGGACATGGTGAGAAGAATAGACAGAGACTGCTTGTTCAGGGCAGTATAAAATAGTTTCATGTTCATGGTGAACATTCTTAAGTGCTTAATTTTTGTGAAAATCATTTGGGGATTTCAGGTACAAAATTTGAGATAACATTGAGTGTAAGTGGCTTTTTAAAAAACAATTAATGACTCTTCATTTATTAAGTTTTTTTAATCAGCAATGATATCAGGCTACTTTCATTTTCCCTAAAATAATCTACTTGCATTCTTTGTTACTTCAGTTTTCAAATATAAACAATTGGAATCCAGCATAGTAGAACTGAAGAAGTTCTGATTTTATTAAGAACTGGCAGTAGCACTTGAAGTGGATAAACTATTTTAACCTGTTGGAAAGACAAGGTGGTTTGTGTCTTCACTTTGTTTAATTAGGTAATCTTCAACTTGAACTCTTGAAGATAGATTGCAAGGCTATTCCATGTTTAAGTAGTGCAGAATACTTGCAGCTAATGTGAATTTTATTGGGAACATTAAACAGAAAAAACCAAAATCATCACTTTGGGCTGTATGAGTCTTAAGTACAAGTTTAGGAGTTCAAGCTCAGGCCCAGAGACCAGTAGTGCATAACCAATAATTCTATGGCTGGTTTACTTTTCAACCAGAATACTGTCAAATCAAGAGTAGTTAATATTTTCCAGTAAACTATATTGTATGTTTTCATGCTGTGTATCTCCACAGATGATGAGTTTTATTAGATTTTCTGTATCACTTCCATAGCAAACAAAAAAACCCTGTAATGCGTTTTGGAGAGTTGAATCTTAAAATACACGTTCTAGAGCTCATGTTGTAAAAATCTATAGTAAAACTTCACAAACATGCAAAATAACAATTCAAATATTTTAAGTAGTGCATTTTTAAAATATAGCCAGTATGATAATGATCTAAGGAGTAAAACAGTTCTAGCACTTAGAGCAAGATGTCACGTTGAAAAATCAGTGTTTTAGAATGGAATTTTAACATTAGTATTGTGTCCACTAAGATACTGCATTCATCATTTGTTTTAAAAAAATAATGAAATCGTTAATGATCTATGAGATTAACAGTTGATAATAAACGGATTCTGTGGAAGTAAGTATACATGCTGGGTGTATTGTTGTCTCATAGGAAACAGATTAATGGTAAAACTCACTTAAAAAAAAAAAAAGACTAACAAATGAAATTCCTGAATAGTTTGCCATAGAGATAAATAAAAGAAGGAAAAAGATGGAACAATTAACACACAGCTAACAAATGCACAGTCACAGCTGTCCAAACAGGATTAATGGAGTGTATTGGAGTACAGTGAGTCATGTGGTGCTTTGCAAAAATATCAACATGTGTTGCACTACATGCCACTGCCCTGTGGCACTGAATAGATGAAAAGAAATAAATATGTTAAGCAGATTCACAGTCTTTTCACTTTATTAAAAAAGCGAGTTTCTAGACTCTATGGAAGAGACGAGACTTGATCGTTATGGGAAAGGTAAAGAAGCATAAGTTACCTAATACTTGTACTGACCCTTTTCAAGTTTTAAAAATGGAAATATGAGAATTTTTAAATGTGCTTCATAGCATTCTCATTAAATATGTAAGTGGTGGATGTCTCTCATCTGCCGTTCTTTTGGAACTCCAGGAAAGTTTTTACCAAAATAAGTTATTTTACTAAAATAAGTTGTCTTCTTTTCCATAACTTTTCAGCCTTTTAGTAGTCTTTTTTGAAAATTCCCAGCAGCACCATATTGCTAACCACTGTGAAACAAATTAGGAAGAGAGCACTTAATAGCCAGGTATATAGGAACAAGGAATTGCAAACAAAATTGAATTTTCTAATATACAAAAGTATTCCTAGAATTTGTCTCTTGATTATTATGGTCAAGTAAATAGTGATTGAAAACTTATTTGTATGTTCACTCTCAAAACATAGTAGGTATTTGTTTGTGTGTTTGTTTTTTTTTTAACCTGAACAGTTCTTTTGTATTTGATTGGGTAAATTGTCACCAACTTTATTGGATATGTATTTGTGTCCACTGGAGATGCAGCTTTCTGTTCTGTTACTGAGCAGTCTTTCAAATTGCAGTCTTGGGAATTTTTTTTGTGGGCTGAGTACATAATTCTGTAAGAAAGTCAGCAAAAGCTTTTTAACCGTTTTTTCCTACAAACTTATGAAATGATACTGTGTCAGAGTTTGGTTTTGTGGGGTTTTTTGGTTTGTTTTTTTTTTTATTTTTTATTTTTTTTTTCTGATGAGCAGAGCCTTTTTTTATTTGTAAGAGGGAAATGAATGTACCTTGTGGACAATATTATTTTGCCACCTTCTCTAACAGAAATGTCAGGCTTTGTTTTTGTTTGTCCTCATAATGCCTGCTCCATTGCTACCTATTCTTCTGAACCCCTTTGTGTCAAGGAGTATTTTTGCTTTTCCAAAGAACTCTTTACCCAGTGCTCTACCTGTTTTGTTTCTTTTCCTTTAGAGCCCTGGAAACTCTCTGGATTTTCCTGTAGCTCTGCAATCTGACTAAAACACTCTGCTTCTTTGAAACTATTCTTAAGGACACTGTCTGTTTGGCTTCACGTGTGAAAGAAACCGTGTATTATCCCTCATCTGTTTACTGGTTGATTCAGTCAGCCAGTTTCTTCTTCTTGTGCTAAGACCTTCTGTGCTTTTTTCATACTTCTCCCTGCTTCTCTTGATATTTTGATCAGCTTCAGTAATTTTAAATTTTTTTTTTGCTTTATCCTTTGAAAATTCTTCTTTTAATTTTCTTCATTTTTGGCATGTTTTTCTTAAATACTAAATTTGATTCCCCTATTTTTTTATTAAATTGACTGATGCTGGGTGCAAGAAGCATGTGTACCTTTTAACATGGCGATAGCTGGCTGTAAGCCTTGGGTGTGAAGGTACGATGAGATTCCTAAGTGCCAGGCTTACCCTCGAAAGTAACTGACCTTTACTTCTGCTCTGTCTCTCTTCATTTATTATCACCATTGAAGTCAAAGTTCTTAAAAGCCCCCAACCCCTTTTAAAATGATAGAAAACTCACTTCCACGAAATTCAGAGCCAGGGTTATTTTCTGATTGTCTGGTTTTCTGCAACCATTTTAGTTATGGGGCGAGGTACGCTTCCTTCCTTCGCACGGTTGGTCTCAACTGTGAGAGTGCACGTCGCTGTGACATCATCTGTGCCAAAAGCTTTTCTGGGAATATAATGGCTCATCAATCCTAGACAACTGTTATTTGGGTATCTCAATATTCAGCCCTTTATTCAGTGCAGTCCTTGATGTAGACCTGGTGAAGGAACAACGTATGGTTCTTCCTCTTCTGCCTGCTGGGATGGACCCTATAGCTTGTAGACATTTCCATGTTTTGGAAAAATATTGCTCGCTTGGCTTTAGTGATTAACTCGCCTTTGATCAGCACAAAGCCGAGTGGCAGCGTTAAGAGGTCCACGGTGAAGACCTGTCAGCGCTGTCTTTCAGCCAAACTCTTTTCCTTCTCTGCAGATGCTCTGTGGCTGTAGTGGTGGGCAGATCTAGCAGAAAAACTGCAGTTGGAAGGATGTCTTTAAGCTTTGGTGTCAAAAGCTGTGGCTCTGAAAAAAAACACTTACAAAGGCTTAGTGTTTACTGGAAGATGTTGTGGCTGTCATGGGAAGGCGTTTTGCTTCCTGTATGTTTTAATGAGAAAGCTCATGGGACATTTCATCCTTTTCTGGAATAGATAAGGATTTCATATAAACTAAGATTTCAAGCAGTTTTCATGCTAATACTGTGGTGTTTTTTTTTCCTAGTTATACTTATTGAAATTATAAAAGCAGGATTATTTTCTAGAATAAACAATTTACTTCATCTCATGTTATTCAAGCATTTGACTAGGAAACTTCAGAAACATTTTGATTGATAAGTGTGTCTTACGTTTTTATAGTGGTCAGTGAAGGGGAAAATGAGCTTGAGAACACTGTCTTGTGTGTTTAACCATGCGTCTTACAGTGTGTTGTTCGAAAGAATTTCACTTCCATATGTAGAAATTAATAGAATGAAATTTTTATGTTTCTTTAAAAAAATGTAATCAAGATTTTGATGTAAATCTTAAATGCAATTTTAACAGGAATCACCAGATTTGATCTGCTTGGAGACTTCGGAAGGTTTAACTGGCTGGGAAACTTCTATATTGTATTATCTTACAACTTGCTCTTTGCTATCATGACAACATTATGTCTGGTCAGAAAGTTCACTTCTGCTGTGCGAGAAGAGCTCCTGAAGGCATTAGGTAATACGGCACTGAGACTTTGGCTTGTAGTTGAACGTTTCCTTTCTCCAGCATTGATACCTTCATGTGCTACTGTTAGAGTTGTGTTACAAGTCACAGAAAACTTTTTTTTTGTGGTTTCTGTAAGTTAAGGTGAAACTGCAGAAGTTTATATAAGTTAAGGTGAAACTGCAGAACTTGTGTTATTTTTTTGAAGAGTCGAGAGCTGAGGTACAACGTTGATCTTAATGATATGTCTATGTGATGTATCTAACTGCAGTGATCTGCAGTATTGAGCAATTATTCCAAAATAAAACTTCAACTTGTGTGTGAGTTGGCTTTTTTATTTCTTGTTTAAAGCAACTTACTAATTCCCTAAAAATAGTTTAGTGGAAGTCTTAGCTGCTTTGTTGTGATGCTTTTTTTTTTTTTTTTGAGCACTACACGTTCAGAAAATCTTTGTGCAGAATGTACAGAATCTTAATAACTTGATATCATCTAAATTTTGATCAAATTGTGCATTCATATTTCTTGGCCATAGTAGAAGGGCTTAAAACATATTTGATACTAAGAGGGTAAAATGTACATATTTAGTAATTGTGTCGTTACTACATCTTATCTTTATTAATTAATGAATGCCTGCTTCTTTAGAACCCTAGAGTAGTGTTTGCTTAAATTGAGAGGACTAATGGTGAAACTTCAGTGTTCGCTTATAACTGCACATTCAGTTTGTACTGTCTAAAAGATACTTACGTTCCTTTTCACCCATTACTGCTCTCCAGAGCTGTGACCCTGGGTAAACAAAATCCAAGTGCTTCCCAGAGCACACCTCTACTGGTGGCAAGTAAAAATCAGACCTACTAAATAGGGAAATATAAAATGACTGATAGTGTAGGATTGAAACACTACACTAAATTGACTTGATAGGAGACTTCAGAGAGAAACTCTAGCAAGCAAGGAAGGACTGACATCATGCCTCTTGTGAATAAAATATGATTAAATTTACCATCTTTCCCCACTCTCCCCCACAAAAGAGTAGTTTAACTACTCGTGGCGGTCTGGCGAGGTCCCCGATGAC